CCTGACTCGCAACGGAGTGCTGCTACATCGACTGACAAATAGCCTGACTTGCTGGTAGTGCTGCTACATCGACTGACAAATAGCCTGACTTGCAAGGGAGTGCTGCTACAACGACTGACAAATAGCCTGACTCGCAAGGGAGTTACATTGACTGAGGGTTTGCAAGGCTACATCGACTGAGGGTTTGGTTTGGGCAGTTGATCATTTAGCCGATGCATCAGCATTAATCTTGGTAACCATCGGCCGATGTTGATTGTTTTAAAAAACCAATGTCTAAAATCAAGAAATGTAAATGTAACCTAAAATGTAAGAAAAAATTTTCTGCCAGATAATTCTCTTGATATTTTTATTTTTTAAAATTTACAAATTGTTTTGAACATTTATTTTTACCTGTATCAAAACATTCTATTAAACTATTTTGATTTTTATTAGACTGTTAATAAATAAAATTAAGCAAACTTTAGCAAATAAGTTTGCTTTAAAATTGACTGTTAACATTATTTTAAAATTTATTTAATGACATAAAATTTAATAATTTAATGACTGTTAACATTTTAGAATTAACTGTTAACATATTTGAAAAAAGTTCTCATTTTACCTATTAGTAAAAAAAAAAAGAGTGTAAAATTGAATTTATGGCAGATTACGAAGCATTGGTTGATGCATCAATATTGGCCTGTACCAATCGGCATTGGCAGCATGTGTGTGTATATGTGTGTGTGTATATATATATATAAGTCCTATACACAATTCATATGTAAGGACGCAATTTCCTAATATCATTTTTGTGCTTTTAATGTAAAAATGTGCGCTTTAATTTTTCAGAAAAAGAAAAAAAAAACAAAGAATAATAAAAGAAAATATTGCTGCCCCATGCCAAACCCTCAGTCAATGTAGCAGCACTCCTTTGCGGCAGCAGGCTATAAGATAGTTGATGGATATACTCAAGCCCTCACAACTGCTTGTTTTTTAATGATGTTGTTCGTGAGTATCTAATGCTGCATATATATATATATATATATATATATATATATATATATATATATATATCTTTTATTCACAGCAGTTAGCAAGTCAGCCGCAGGGCAAGAGAATCAAAAACTGTATTGATTGTCTGACAGTAAATTATTTGACTCAAGATGGAATGTTAGAAGTATGTTGATCAAAGACTCAATGAACTTGCTAATAAAAGAAAGAACACTGATTAAGCGGTAGTTAGAGGGGTCTAAATGTTCTCTGGAATTTTTCAAAATTGGAACCACAGATGTCATTTTTCAGCAAGCAGAAAAACATGATTCAGTCAAGCGCTTATTAAATAGTTTAGAGAGAGTTGAAGAGAGTTCTGGAGAACACTTTTGTAAGGCTATGACAGGAATGTTGTACAGACCACAAGCCATAGAAGAGTTTAATAGAGATATGACTTTAGTCATATCTCTATTAAATGGAAGCTGTAGTGATTTGAATGTCTAACCTGTTTAACTGAAATGGAACAAAAAGTTTGGCCATAAAGTTCAAGAGTTAAGTTAAAAGAAAAGTTGTTTTCAAAAATTTTTGCCTTGGGAGAGGTAATGGCATCAGTCCCATGAGTTAGAGATGAAATTTTTGACCCACCCTCGTTAATGATACTAAAAGAGTTTCCAAAAGTCTCTAGAGCCTAACTTCTGAGAAGAAAAAAATGTAAAAAATGTTGTAAAAAATGTAAAAAATTTGTGCACCTTTATACACTCTTAAATAAGAATATATAATAATTTATTTTTAAAATAAAGCTTTTTTTTTTTTTTTGCAGCACTTTCTGGAGTAGCACAACTATTTTAAATTGTTTTTTTTTTTATTAAGTTTTAGACAACTTTTTTTCCAGACCTCTTAGGACTAAATACCTGAGCACGTTATTAACATAAGTATCTTTTAACAATTTTTTTTTTATTAAGTTTTAGACAACTTTTTTTCCAGACCTCTTAGGACTAAATACCTGAGCACGTTATTAACATAAGTATCTTTTAACAATTTTTTTTTTTATTAAGTTTTAGACAACTTTTTTTTCAGACCTCTTAGGACTAAAAACCTGAGCACATTATTAACATAAGTATCTTTTGACAATTTTTTTTTTTATTAAGTTTTAGACAACTTTTTTTCCAGACCTCTTAGGACTAAATACCTGAGCACGTTATTAACATAAGCATCTTTTAACAATTTTTTTCTCCCAGTGTTTTGATGTTTTTGAAAACATTATCTTTTTTAAAATCTTTTCGTTCGTTTAAGTGTTACATATGTTTTTATAAACACTCTATAAAACTTCAAAAGTATTTTGCATTTTAGAATAGTCAAAAAAAATTTAAAAAAAAAGTTTTTAATGATAGGACTCGATCCAGGGCTTAATTGTTCAGATGCTAAGCACGTAATTCACTCGCCCATGCTGGCACGTTGTTAAATGAGTATTTCTAAAACTATGTAATGACTTTTTTTACAGAAAGATATGCTGTACATCAAAGTTAAGGAGAGCTTGACGCAATGCAATTTTATATGATAATAAATTATTATTAACACTTCTTGCATTAAATAGACACTTGTAATTGGGAGAGTTGTTCTTTCCATAAAAAGATTTAAAAAATGATTTGAATTTGATATAGAAGCTGTACAAGAAGGTGAAAACCATTATTTATTTGAAACCAAAAAGAATGAATAAAACCTTCTATTCCTGTTTGGATCCAGAAAATTATGTAGAAGGCACATTTATCAGCAGCAAGGAGAAAATGATGATAGGGTGAGTCTGAACAAGATGTACAAGATAAAAGATTTATAGAGATCATTGCGTATTTGAAACCACCTAAATGTAAACAAGGAGATGTTATTCTCAAACTTGGCTCAGAAACAAGACACATATCAAAGAGTGAAGATTAATGATTAGGGTTATCTGGAAAATGAGTTGACAGTTTGAGTAAGAGATTGATAAATGCAGAAGTTATGGCTTTAGTGCCAGCAGGGTCAGTGGTGTGAGAACCAACCCATTCAATGCAATTAGCATAAAAGTCACCAATAATAAAAATATTCCCAGAGTTTTAAAGCATTTACTTATTTATTGTGTGACTTTTAAAGCATTTACTTATTTATTGTATAATTATTATTAGGTTATACGTTTTATAAAAGGTTATATATAAAGGCATTCTTCTACATAAAAATTAGTTTCAAAAGGGAAAACCCAAACATAACGTTTGTAACACCACTTAAAGTTATTTGAAAGGACTTTTTTGTATTGATGTCATTTGATAACTACATAAGCTCATTAATAGACCAGTAATTAAAAAAAAAATCAAAGAACCAAAACTTACCTTTGAGATAAAAATATAGAGTTAAAAATTACAAAGTTTTTTGCTAATATCTTGATTAATAATTTGTTCTGGGAAATTTCATTAACATGAAACTTTTATTTTAAGGATTATTTATGATATAAACACAACTTGTGTTGACACTTGGGGATCACTTTAATATTTTGAGTTACTTTGGGCATGATTTAAATTAAAATTGAACTTTAATTTAAAACTCATTCATAGATGAAGCACAGTATCCCAAGCAATGAGCTATGCAGTTGTATCAGTCCTGCTAATTAGACCCGGCAGTGACTTCAATTTGTGGCAAAAAAAACTTTTATGTGTCAAGTTTGTTTTTGCATATATCTTACATTTTTTGATTAATTTTGATAATGGTGCAAACAATTGCATAAGTATAAAAGATATATCCTACAGAAATATCATTTTACGAATAAGAGTTTGTATTTATTACTCTTATAGTATTAAATAAATAGTTTTAAAGAAATAACATTGTAATTACTGTATTTAGTCGTTGTTATAATATATCCCATAAAAATGTATTCTATATATTTTTAATAAAAGAAATTTATTTAAAAAATTTAAAGAAAATCTTATTTCTAGTTTGTTTTTTCTAGTTTTTTTGTCACAGTGATCTACGCAAAAAGTTTTAGGCAGTTGAACAAAAAACTTGATCGAAAAAGTCGCATGTATCATTTTTTACATTTTAGCATATAATATATTTGTTTATAACATATGACATTCATATATTATAATATTGCAAATAGCCTATGTGTTTATAACATGTTGAAATCTTTGGTATATAAATATGTTATAAACACATATGTTATATGCAATGTTATATAATGTCACGTGTTTATATCATAGCAGGACTATCTTATTAAATTTTTTCTTTTTTAAGTTTCAGACCACAATTTTTTTTTCATACCATCTGCAGCTTATTAGGATTAATTACCTGAGCACAATAATAACACAAGTCTCTCAATCATGACACTTATGCAACAAATTTCTCCCGGTGTTTTGATGTTTCTAGAATTTTTATCTTTTTTAAAAAATCGTTCATTTGTTATAGTGTATAATATCTTTACATATGTTATGTATACAATATCTATAAAACTTCAAATGTCTTAAATTTTGCGTTTTAAAAAAATCAAAAAAGATTAAAAAAAAAAGTTGCTAGTAGTAGGATTTGAACAGCAGCTTTTCTGTTCAGAAGCTCTGCGAGCTAACCACTTGGCAATGCTGGCATGTTGACAACTAAACATTTTAAAACTATATAATGAATAAAAGATTTTATAAAATGGAAATAAATATAGATCAAAATTAAGAAGATGTTTCCACAATGCAGTTTTCAAGTGAAAGTAAAACTGTTAAACTTGATATATGTTTTAACATTACATTTGTAACATGTAAGTTTTGTTTAAGTTAGATATTTGTATATGTTTATGTTTTCTTATAACAAAAAGTGCAGCAACACTTTATTGCCATTACCTCAGTTGCAATGGCTGCCAACGGTTCCGTGTCAAATATGCTCAAATGGGCACTACTAACCCTAACAGCACTATTATGTTCGTCAATAATATATAGAGATTCTTTAAAATGTTATTAGAAAAAGCATAAATTTTATTATATAAAAACATTTTGATTACCATTATTATTTTTCCTATTTATTTTCAGATGATCATTCAAGAGTGCGTCTTGGAAACAGTTCAGATGTTAAAACAAACTATATAAATGCCTCCTTTATTCATGTAAGGCTTTTTTTTTTATTATATAAAAAATTTCCAATAAAAGTTATGAGTCCAACTTGGAATAGTAAAACAAAAAAGTAATACTATATATAACATGATATTTGATAAATATATGATTAAAATGATTAACAATAATGGTAGTAATAATATAAATTGTAATAATAATAATAATAACAATAATAATAATAACAATAGCAATTGTCATTGTTGTTAGTATTATTGTTTTAACATTATCATTTGTTTTCAGGGGGTTATTACTTAATCACTACACAATTATAGGCGATTATATAAAATTATTACTATTAAGAGACCTTATTGGGTTTAGGGAGTCAAACTTATCCACATTTAGGTGGAGCTATAAAATTGTTTTCTTAATTGGGTTTTAAAATGTTTTTTACTTGTATTTCTAGAAATTTATATACTTATTTTTTTCCTTATTATATTTTTATTTTATCTAAATACCTTAGCTTACTTTAGGTTTAGGGAACAACTACAAATAAAGAGGATACTCTTTTTTTTAATTTAATGTTGTTTCAAGTTGCGCAAGTGGTTATTGTTATAAATATTTAAGTTTATTTTTTTTTTTTTGTTATTTGTGGGAGGGGTGGGGGAGAGGTGTTAAGGGGTCCAAATATAACTTTTTTAGTTTTTGTGTAATTTAACCACTTTTTCTTTTTTTTTTTTTATGCTGATTTTGAATTTCTTCATACTTTTTTTCATTATAAATATTTGACCTTCTACTTCAATTTTAGTAAAAGAGATTATTTTGACAAAACAATTGATTGTTAAATTAAGTGATGCCATTGTTATTATTAAAGTAGAATCCATGGTAAATAATCTTTCTTTCATTTTATCAATAAAACACGTAATCATTGTGTATGGTTATAAATACAACAGAAAATTAGGCATTATCTATGAAATTAGTCAATGTAAGGAAACAATTTTTAACAACTACTAGTGAAAATGCGAAATAACTTTACAGCAGCTCTGGTGCAGTGATTATAGTTCTTTCTCAGCAACAAGAAATTTGAAGTTGGATGTTGGCTCTGGCCAAATAAAATGGTAAGGAAGGAACTTTCTAGTTAAATTGCTCATCCACAGTGCTTTGTGAAAAGACCCTTCTTCACAGTGCTTTGTGAGAAGACCCTTCTTCACAGTGCTTTGTGAGAAGACCCTAAGTTATTCTTCACAGTGTTTTGTGAGAAGATCCTAAGTTCTTCTTCACAGTGCTTTGTTAGAAGACCCTAAGTTCTTCTTAGAGCTTCTTAACAAATAAAGAAAATATTCTTCTCTAAACATAATATGGCGTTTTTTATGTGGTTCTTTGCAGAGTGCAACTACTAGTTAGTATGATAAAATTCGTCAACTACTGTGAAGTTTCTAAAGAGTTAATTTTAATTTACTTGTTTATTTATTAATTTACTAGTTTATCAATTCTTGTTGCAATATTTTTCATTTTATTCGGTATATAAATTTAGTTTACAAAATAAACAGTGTAAATAAATAAAGTACTTTCTGGTAAAAGCAAATTTTTACACTAGTGTAAGATTTACTTTACATATGGTGGCACAACTTTACACGCAAAGAATATGCTGCAAAGATTTCTAGTTTTTTAATATCTTTGAAATGTTAAAAATATAAGTCAACCACAAAAAAAAGCAAAAACTGAAATGTTTTTGGACTTTTCTGAAATGATTAATTAAGAATAAATGGTTAAACAAAAAATATGAAATATTGGACCCTTCCTCTCCTCTTCCCCTCATCCTTCCCTATTACTTGTTTTTTATAAAGTTATTTATATTTTTTTGTGTATTTTACTTACAAGCTTTTGCGTGATACAGTTGTTTAATGACAATGTTGTTAATTAAAATATTTTTTTTATTTTTATGTTTTTTATATTGTTAGATTTCATGCCTTCATTTAACTTGACTAATTATCTAATTCATTAAAGGTCATATATACTAATCTATTAATATAAACTTATATTTTATAAAATATAATTATAAACATTATTACTTTATTATGTTTTGATAAGGATAATTTATTAAAAATTTGAATAGTTTAATTTAATTAATTGGTTTTTTTTAATTTTTATTTTCTCTTTTACCTTATTTATATTGCATTTTCATAGTTTGAGTTAATAAAAAAAAATCAATTTTGTTTATATGTTTTAAATAAATTTATAAACTTTACAAATATTTTTGATATTAATAATGATGTTTCATTTACTTTTTAAGACTAAAACCTTAAATCTGCTTCTGCTTTTTTAAATAGGGATATACAAAGCCTAATGTTTACATAGCAACACAAGGTAAATGGCTTTACTAATTTTAAACAACCAAGTTTTGAAGTTTAAAATAATTGTATTTTATATATATTCAACATTTTCACTTCCAACAAGGCTGCAAACCTATTGGAACCATTACTAAAGTTGGAAGTTACTGAATGAGAGAAGATGAAGTTTATAGAACAAGATAATGATTAACAGGCAACTTAAAAATTGCAAATTGTATAAATCAGGAAAACAAGATGAAGGCAGCAAATCCAAAGGACTGATGTTCGAGGTAAAACACTGGAATAAATAAAAATTTTTGGAGCACTTAAAAATAGTCACAATAAAAGGATGAGACTTAATTGAATGACGAGTAACACGAGAATAAATTTAATAGATAGCATAAGAGATGCAAGCTTTTTAGAGCTTGCATCTCTTATGCCATCTATGGGATAAATAAGATAGTATTTTAAGATAAGTAAGATAGTACAATGATAGTTAGAAGATTAATACAAGTTAGTTAGATGAGTCAGATCGCTCTCCAGAATTTTTGAAAGCAGGGATAACAGATGTTGCTTTCCAGTATGCTGGAAAACAAGGCTCTGATAAGCACTTGAGTGATTGAATATCAAGCAATGGATCAACCTGTTTGTCAGCTATATCAGGTAGAATACAACTAATGGAATTAAAAGATGATATTGATGAGATGTTCTTATCAAACTATTCAGCTTTATCTTTAAGTGAGGTGACAAAATCTGAACTATACAAGAGAGTTGAAATAACAGATTTACCCTTATTATAGATACTGTTAAAGATTTTCCAGAAGTCACAAGAGCCTAATTTTTAAGATAAAATGCGAGATTCGGTGACCTGAGACTAGTGGGCTCAGGCAAAACCTTTTTACAATGGTTTCTACCAGTAGTAAACAGACGTCTATTTTCTGGAGAATTGTTTTGATGATAGATGCGAAAGTAATAATTACTATTGGAAATTGCAGCAGCACAATGTGAGGTAAACCAAAGAGAAGAGTGAGACTAGACTATTTTTTTTTTAATTTTTTTTTGTTAATTCACCTCCTCAAGGCTGAGAAGGCCACTACAAACGATGAGGCTAATTATTTGTGGTTATAACCCTCTCTCAACTCTATAACTCCAAAACACGAACCTTGACGAACAAAGCTGCTGCGCGGAGAAACGAGTTAAGCGCGGTACTAGCAGGGACGTGGTGGGGATTGAACTCGGAACCTCTCGCTTATGAAACGAGCGCTCTACCACTACACCACTACCGCATAAAGGGAATTGAGGGTTCCATGCAAGCCTGAATCCAAGAAGTTATGTTAGAAACATATTTGTCAGCATGAACGCAAAGGAACCCAAGGGCGCTCACAAAGAAAATCACGGAAAGAATTTTAGTCAGCTTTAAGTAGTTTTAACAATAATAAGGGGATTCTGAATGTCAAAAAGATTGAAATAATAGTATTAAAGAGATCCAACCGTGATCAGAAACACCTAAGGGTGAATGTGGGCACTGACTAGGATCAGAAACAAGACATAAGTCGAGTAGAGAGGGTAAATGATTCAGATTGTCTGGAAAACGATTTAAAAAGTTTACTATTTGTGTTAGAGATTGAGAAAATGATCATCACACTAAATGGCCAAGCCATTTAGTGTGATGAAAGCACATAAAAGAATAGTTGGTGGATTCAAACCTAGTTTCCTGACAAATAGGTGAGTTCTTACAAATGTAGATGCCTAGGCCAAGTATGTGACTATTAGAGTCTTTACTAACTAAAGTAAGATAGCCATCAACACTTAGATCACAAAATGAGACAGCTGAACTCAAATTAGTCTCAAAAAGAGCAACTAGGTCTGGAAAAGTTACTTTGAAGACTATGAGTATTAGTTAATGATAGATTTAGAGAACTTGGTGATGACAATGGTTTTTTGTGTTTTATAGTTTTTGGTACTTAAGTCATTTTTAAATTTGTTAAAGAACTTGACTCAAAGAACAGATAGTACTCAGTACACTATTTAATAGTCCAAACAATTGCTTCATTACTTTTAATAAACCCTAAGCTGTGAAAAAGGGCTTCTAAATGGCCTTGACAATGCACTACAAAAGTTTGAACAGGAACACCATTCATGCACAACATGGCACTATTAGTACTAAAACTGATTTTTTCTAGCTGTTGATGGAATCAGCCTCTCTGAGAGCTACCACAGAGTTCAGGAAACCTGACTACTAGTCAGCCTCAGAACCATAAAACTGAGATTTAGAACATTAGGAGTTAATAGAATGGGTTGCTTAGTCATAAAAACAGACACAAGCAAAAACCATGCATTGAGTTATAAAGATTCAGCCTTCAACATCCTAAACTGGAAACAATGTATTATAAATACATCTGTGCCAGCCTAATAGATGAAGAAAGAGTATGAGGCTGGTCAACAGATAAAATCTGTTTATTTATAATGTCTTTGTCTAGGAGACCATCTACGAGACAGTAGCCAGATGCATTTAATGTCTGCTAAGATGAGTATTTTTATAGAGACACCATCTCTAGCCTTTACTCAACCAATAGTCCCAAGGCAGAGGGTATTATATGTTGGACTTGGCTTCTCCTAGCCTTCTCCTAAATAAGCCTATCTTACAAGGCAGCGGCACATTAATATATATATATATATATATATATATATATATATATATATATATATATATATATATATATATATTTCATCATTTATATATAATAATCAAAAAAACAAATAGTTGACTAGTGAAAAAAGTTCACCCGCCAATTAAAATATCAAATTGTGTGTTATAACTTAACAATGTATATTAAATAATTACTACATGTGTAGTTACTAACTAATACAGTTACTAGAGTTTAGCGTATGCTTCATGTTGTCTAAATTTATGATTAATGATCAGTTTATTTTTATTTATGATCAGTACCTCACTATAATATTATTATTTTTTAATTTTGACTGCAATTTATCTTTTTTTCTGCCGACTAAATACAGTTCTTGCATCATTTTTATTACACATTCCGCTCACTGGTTGCTTCATGGTATCTTCAGTGCTGATGATTCCTATTTCTAATTTTTCTCCAATACCTGTAACTCCTTCATGTAAGGTTTCAGTAGTTGTGACAAGTTACTGTAGTCTACCTTGTAAAATTTGTAAAATTGTAAAAGTTTGTAAAATTTAAAAGTTGTAAAATTGATCAGCAAACCAACACTTTGCCCAGTCATATGAAATATATCTACAGATTTTCTGTAATGTTGGCCTTGTTTTAGGTATGTGAACAAAAGCAAAAATGGCAAGGGCGGCTCTTGAAATCCAATGTGCATTATTAATATTAAATATTTTTCAAAAGTTTACAATTGGAAAATGTCCTTTTTCTTTATGGAATTTGAAAACAAGTGTTAGATGATGAGTTTTTTGTTATCTCTCCAGTCTGATTTATTGATAATCACTTCTATTCAGTTCACAAGTTTTGCTTGCAATTCCTCATAACTGCTCATCAACTGAAATACAAAAAGATACTTAATGTTTGGAAACTTAGTGCTTTCTCCAATTTCCTCATCCATCACCACACGCAGAATCCTATCAAGAACATGATGCTGGCAAGAAATAAGCAACAGTTTATCAAACCCCTTTGCTGAAAATATTTGCATAAGTCTTGCAACAACACCATTTATTTTACCAGTGTTAACACTAGTTGTATCAGCCACTATCATCTTTACAATACTTTATAAACTATATTCTTCAAAAACTGTCAAAATTCTATCAGTAATAGCTTCTGTCTTTCCATTTTTCAACTGAGGTAGAAAAGGGAACTCAATGTTTGAAGACTTAATGCTTCCTCCAATTTTCTCATCCATCACCACACGCAGAATCCTATTAAACGTATAGTGTTGGCAAGAAATAAACATTGGTTTATTAATCCTCTTTCTGAAAATGCTTGCTTAAGTCTTACAACAACATCATTTTTTTACCAGTGTTAACACTGGTTGTATCAACCACTATCATTTTTACAGCACTCAATAAATTATATTCCTCAAAAACTGTCAAAGTTCTATTTGAAATAGTTTCTGCTTTTCCATCTTTCAAACATAGTGCAGCTAGTTTCCTAGGAAAAAAGGTTCTCTAAAGTTTCTATAAACTTTTCAAACATATGGCCTATAGATATTTTATAGAGTCCTACAGAATTTCTATAGAATCTTTGTTAATTTCTATAGAAATTTCGAATTTTTTTTCTTCTATAGAACTTTTTTTTTTTACTTTTTTTTCTATAGAAAAAAAAGTTTTATAGTAATTTCTATAGAAATTAATAGACACTCTATAGAAATTCTGTAAAATTTTTATAGAATTTCTATAGGTTATAGAAATTCTATAGAAATTTTATAAATTTCTCTATAGTTTTAAAAGTTTATAGAAATCCTAGCAAACTTTTTTTCCTGGTTTCACTTTGATTTTAATGTTTTTCAATACTACAACCTCATACTCATTTTCATTAATGTGCTTTCCATAAAAATGTAGATACCACTGTTCCGTATTTAAGTATATTGCTGAGCTACTTGCCTTTTAAGTGGTATTCTGCATTTTTCTTGGAATAAAAATTCTTGTAAATGCACAGCCTTTTTTTTATGTGAATACTGAAATTTCATCAGATTTTTGGCTCAAATGTTGTTCTTTACAGTGTTGAAACTTTTCTTGTGCAACATTGTCTATAAGTTGATATTATTTCTAAAGATAGAAATCAAAAGTAAATAATATGAGATGATTGTTTTCATTGGTATATGAAATTTATATTAATTGTGCAGTGCATAGATTTTTACATATTTCAAAATAGCAGCTGTGTAAGTCTGGTAACATTTATTAACCAACAAATATATCTTCTTAACTAATTTGTCAGTTCAAATTAAAAGGTTATCTCTGCCTCTATATCACTTTCTTTACCTTAAATTTTTTTTACCTTATAATTTTGTCATTAGATAACAAGAGCAAAAACTAGTTCAGAAATTGGTTATACAGTCTTGGTCAGTAGTGCTAGAACAATCTACGCATTTCAAGAGTGTTCTTCGTCATTCTCCTCATATCTAGAATGTTTTACATCTTGCAATATTATAATTTTATTCTATAGTGATATCTAGTTTTGATTTGGGGTGACCTTTTTTGAAAATCTAGTGGAGCTTGCTGCGTTTTATATATATATATATATATATATATATATATATATATATATATATATATATATATATATATATATATACATATATATATATATATATATATATATATATATATATATATATATATATATATATATATATATATATATATATTCAAATTCAATCGGTGGGTAGTCTTGGCGAAAAAATTAAAAAAATAAATTTATGAAAGAGTTATTGTTGTTTTAGTAAATAAAAAAACTTTTAAATAAATAAAAAAAGCGCCATTATACTTTTATTTGACGTTTTTTGACATCATTAAACAGTTTTTTGTTCCATTTTATTTTGATGTCAAAAAACATCAAATAAAAATGCGTATATAACTGCTGATTTTACATTTTGTATTATATTGTATTTTACATTATCTTTTACATTATATTTTACATTTTGTTTTGAATTATATTTTATGTTATATTTTACATTATATTTTACTCTATACTCAATTAAATTTTATGCGTAGTGGCCTGGTATTCAGTGGTCATTGTAGAAGTTTGGCAGCAGGTTACATAGCAGGCTATGTAGGAGGCAGGTAGTCCGTGGGCATTTTAGATGTAGTGGAGCAGGCAATGTGACTTGCAATTTAGCATGTAATTAACCTGCAGGTTTTGTAATAACTATGAGCAGGCTATAAGTTAGTTATGTAGGGGGCTATGTATACTGACTTGTTTATTAGAAACAATAAAAAAACAATTAAAATTAATAAAAAGCATCAACCAATTATTTCCGCGAATCTGCAGGTTATCCTACTATTATATATATTTAAAAATATATATTTACACACACACACACACACACATATATATATATATATATATATATATATATATATATATATATATATATATATATATATATATATATATATATATATATATATATATATATATATATATATATGTATGTATTTATATACATACACATTTATGTTTATATATATTTATATATTTGTATACATTTACTGTTCATGTTATTTTTAAATATTTTTGAAAATTTTAAAGAGTTGAAGTAATATGAAATTATTAAAAACAACATCTAAAAATTTCCAAAGGTCCAAACACATCATCATTAAATGATTTTTGGAGAATGATTTGGGAACAAGATGTTTCATTAATTGTAATGCTAACAAACCTTGTAGAAAGACAAAAGGTAAGAAGACAATTGTAAAATTTAATATAAATTAGCAAAATTTTTTCAGTTTAAATTTTGCATATAATTTTTATTAAAGTTTTGTTGATTTTTAAATTCTCAATTAGCAAATAAAATAAAGTTTTGTTAAAAAATTTTATTTAGAAAAAATGTGAATTGTATTGGCCAAGATATGGTGGACAAATATTCGATGATGTAGAAGTAAATATTTCTTCAACAGATAACTTCTCAGATTATGTTGTTCGAAAATTCTCAGTTAAAAAGGTTTGATTTATATAAGTTTTGTATTTTTTATAAATAGTTTTTCCAAGTTTATCTTGATTACCAATTACCAAAAAAATTTTCTCACAGTAAAAGAACAATAATTGTAATTCACAACATTTAATAAATTCCCAAGTTTATGCTTAATCTGTATTATTATCTTTTATTTTTAGTCCACCATTTGTAAAAAGGGCAAAATGGTTATCCTGCTACTGTAACATGGGTTAATAGTTATCCTGATGTAATCCAGTACAAGCTGCTTCATGTCCTGCTGTCTTATAGGATATGCTTTTTTAGGCAAAGACTAGGAGAAGCCAACTCTGACATGAAAAACTGACTTAGAGCTCTTGGTTGAGCAAAGACTAGAGATGGTATCTCGATAAAAATACTCATCTTGGGCAGATGTTGAGATGTTAAGAAACAGATGTTTTTTAAGTCAAGTTCTTTAACAAATTTAAAAATAACTAAAGTACCAAAAACTATAAAACATTAAAAACCATGGTCATCACCCAGATCTCTAAACCAACCATTCACTAATATTTGTGGTCAAAGTATCTTTTCTTCTGTTGAGTCTTTTCTCTTGAGCTTTTTGTGAGGCTAATTTGAGTTCAGCTGTCTCATCTCGTGATCTAAGTGTTGATGGTTTTCTTCCTTTAATTCGTAAAAACTTCAATAGTTATATGCTTGGCCTTGCCATTTACATTTTAAAAATTTACCCATTTGTCAGGAAACTAGGTTTGAATCCACCAACTATTATCTTATGTGCTTTCGTTTAGCACCTCTTTACACTATTGCCTTTCTCTTTGTTCTATATTGCTCTCCTTCATCTCAAGACTACACTCTTTTTGATGTTATTTCTGGATTATATTGGATGTTATTTTGGATCAAATTGACAAAGCCCTCTCTCTTTATCAATCAGCCAATATCCTTGTTGTGGGTGATTTTAATGCCCATCACACTGAATGGCTCGGCTTAGTGTTAGTGGCTATCAACTTTTGCCTTTTTCAATCTCTAACTCAAATAGTCAATTTTCCAACTCACCTGCTAGACAGCTTGAATCATTTCTCTTCTCTACTCTACTTATGTCTTGTTTGTAATCCTTGTCAGTGCTCAGTTTCTCTACATTCACCCTTAGGTGCTTCTGATCATGGTTTGATCTCTCTAAAACTATTATCTCATTCTTCTTTATCATCAGAATCTCCCTATAATTGTACCTCTTACAAATACCATACAGCTGATTGGGACCCTTTTTTTTCTTTGTGAGGACCCTTGTGTAGAAATCTTTTATCTTCCTGCAGACAAATGTGCTTCTCACATAACATTGTGGATTCAAGCTGGCATGGAAGCTTTTATATCCTCCAAACAATTCCAACTCAAGCCTCGCTCTTCTCCTTGGTTTACCTTACATTGTGCTGCTGCAATTTCCAATCGAAACCATTGCTTCCATATCTATCAGCAAAACAATTCTCTAAAAAACTGTCTGTTTACTATTGCTAGGAACCATTGTAAAAAGGTTTGGTCAAGCCCCAAAGCCCTCTATTCTCAGGTCATGAAATCTTGTTTTTTTAATCTCAAAAATTAGGCTCTTGTGACTTCTAGAGAATCTTTAACAGTGTCAATGATAATGTTTGCTAAGAACTTTTCATCAATATCATCTTTTGATTTCTCTAGTTGCATTCTACCTGATATAGCCGACAAACAGATTGTTCCATTGCTTGACATTTGTATCACTCCAGCTTCTGTATCTAAAGTGATTTCCTGCTTTGACTCTTCTACAGCTTGTGGTCCGGATAACATATCTGTTGTAGTCTTGTTGAAGTGTTTTCCAGAGCTGTCATCTATACTTTCAAAACTATTTAAAAAGTGCATATATGAGTCTTGTTTTCCGGCATGCTGGAAATAGGCATCTTTTATCGCTATCTTCAAAAATTCTGCAGAGCAATCTGACTTGTCTAACTACCGTCCCATTAGTCTTACTACTATCATAAGCAAGGGTTTCAAGTCTTTAATTAACAAACACTTGATCTCTTATCTTAAATCTAATAACTTACTTTCTGATCATCAATATGGATTTCAATCTTTTTGTTCTACAGCTGATTTGTTAACAGTAATACCTGATAGGTTATATTGTGCACTAGATAGAGGTAGAGAGATTAAGGCCATCGCTCTTGACATTTCTAAAGCGTTTGATAAAGTTTGGCATGCTGGTCTTCACCATAAGCTTTCTTCTTACGTTGTATCAGGTAACATCTTTAAGATTATTAAATCTTTCCTTTCCAATGGTAGTATAAAGCTTGTCCTTAATAGGCAGCACTCTTCTCTATATCCTATTACTTCAGGGGTTCATCAAGCTTCTATCCTTGGCTCTTATACTTTTTAAATTTATATTAACAATATTCAAGATATTCTCACATCTAAGGTGGCATTGTTTGCTGATGATACTACCATTTATACTTGTCTTGATGATAAGCCAACACTCTCTGATTGCTTGGAGAGGGCATTTGAGCTTGAAAAGGATCTCACTTCTGCTACAGCATGGGCTCTCAGTGGCTGGTGAACTTTAATTTTGATAAAACCCAATTATTTTCAGCCAATTGTTACGGCAATAGTTTACATCTTCCTATATTTATGAATGGTGATGTACTCGACAAGTCATCTACTCTTCATCTTCTAGTATTAACTCTTACTTTGGATCTTTTTTGGAAACCATATATCAAATCCATTGTAAAATTAACATCTGCTTAAGTTGCATCTCTTTATTGTGTTTGACACTTTCTTACTCCAGAATCTTTTCTTTATCTCTATAAATCTCAAATCTGTTCTTTTATGGAATACTGTTGCCATCGCTGGGGCAGATCTTCCAATGATTCCTTTTCTCTTTTAGACAAAAACACATTGTAAACATCGTTTACAATGCGTTTTTGGGAGATGTTTTTGCAGCCAACCCCCAGCCATTATGGCATTATTGTAATGCTGCTTCTTTTTCCTTTTTCTACAAATATTATAATGGGCACTATTCTAAAGAGGTAGAGCCTCTTGTGCCTTCTACTAAAGTTCACGCTCATGTTACTTGTCATTCAATTAAGTCTCATCCTTTTTCTGTGACTATTCCTAAGTGCTCAAAAAACTCTTATTTGTCTAGCTTTTTTCCTCAAACATCAGTTCTTTGGAACTCGCTTCTTGTTTTTCTGATTCATTTAATTTACAATTTTTTTAGTTGTCTGTCAATTGTTATCTTGCTCTATAAACTCCATCTTTTCTTTTCGAGTAACTTTTAACTCTAATAGTGGTTGCTTGCAGTCGTGTTTGAAGCGATGATGTCGTAAAAAAAAAAAATTTAAATAAATAGTCTCTGTTTTTTAGAAGACGTTTATAACCTTTTTAGAAATTAGATAAATTTCATCAAGAATGAAATTGATCTTCTAGAAATATTTTTTAGAATTTTAATAGAATGTTAAAAAATGTTTTTTTTTTTTCTCTTGCACAATATTTTTTAATCTCTTACTATCATTGAGCCATGATAGCCAATGGTAATGTTTGGAACTATTATTAGTTGTAGCAGCAAGATTTTAGGTTCAAATCCTGGCTCTGTCTACTACTTAGCGTATGAGTAGTACCTCAGTATAAAATAAACTTGTCTCAATTACCTGTGCTTTTATAATTTTTCCTTTTTGACTAGTAAATAAATAATCTAGTTAAGTAAATAAAAATTATTGTTTATCAAGTAGAAGCTTTTAAATTTTAACTCCAACAACACTCAGTTATTTACTGCAAAGAACTATCGCAGTATGGTCAACATTTCTATATTAATGAATGGCAACCCTCTTACCACGTCTTCTTTTTTACATCTTCTTGGATTATCATTTACTTCTGACCTTTAATGGAAACCATATATACAATCTATTGCTAAATTAGCATCTGCTAAGGTTGCCTCTTTTTATCATTCTGGCCATTTTCTTACTCCTGATTCCATTCTCTTCCTCTACAAATCTCTTATTTATTCCTGTATGAATGCTGTAGAACACTGTAATGTATGAATACTGTAGTCATATTTGGGTTGGTTTTGGGTGGGCTGGTTCTTCTAATGATGCTCTTCCTCTTCTAGACAAGGTTCAAAAACGTTGGACCCAATTAGCATCTGCTAAGTTTAAGCCTCTTTCACATTGTTATAAAGTTGCATGTCTTTCTCTTTTCTACAAATACTATCATGGTTGCTGCTCAGAGGAGTTATCATCTCTAGTCTAATTCATCAACTAAAATTTATTCTTATTTGACTTGTCATTCAGCTAAGTCTCATTTATTTACTGTATCTGGCCCTGCATGCTCTATAAACTTTTATTCGTCTAGTTTTTTTCATTGCATCTTCATGTTTTCCTGACTTATACAACCTACAACTTTTCAAAACTTCTGTAACCATTTTTTTTTTTTTTTTTTTTTCAAACTCGGAACCTCTCGCTTATGAAGCGAGTGTTTTACTACTACACCACTACCGCATTTCATTGCTCTATAACTCTATTCTTTTTTTTCTTAGTAACTCCAAACATAGTAGTGGTTGCTTTGTCGGGAGTGAATTAGAATTTAAAAAAAAACTGTTTATTTTATTTTTTAAATCATTTTTAAGGAATTTTTTTTTTCAATTTTTATTTAATTTTAATTTTTCTTATATTATCACAATTTTAGGTTGGTTCAGATGAGAAAAAGTTAGTTTATCATTTTCAGTTTCTTAATTGGCCAGATCACAGAGTTCCTGAGTTTGTCTTTGACATTGTTCATTTTTGTCAACACATCAGAAAAGTATTTCCCTATGAGCACACACAAAATCCAGTGGTGGTTCATTGCAGGTATGTTTGATTGGATTTTGTTTTTATGCTGCTATTCTTAAAAAATATTGCTTGTTTTTCATGAAAAAAAAAAAAACATGTGATACCTAGAAATCCGGACAAAAGTTTGGTTGACATAAATTGTTTAAGGAGTGTTTCAAAATTGTTGCAACTTATGCTATGTTGTAGTAAATTTAATTCTCTACAAATTGCAATATATCTTTTAGCAAACAATTATTTATAATGGCAAAGAAAATTATCTCAAAACAGGACGATCTCAGAAAGCGCGGGTATGCGTTAATTGATTTGCATCTGGATATGAAGAAAAGTGAGATTGTGAGACACTTCATGATCGAAGGCGCATCAAGGTTGACCCTGTATGATAGTGCAAGACGCTCAAAATAGGCCCTGAAAGACAGCGTGGAACTGGACGGGTGGCAATCATAATAAATACAAAGTGAATCACCATGCTTAAAAAGCAAATCAATCATAGTGACGGAGTTAGCCAGCGTCAGCTAGCCCGCGAGTATGGTGTCAGCCAAAAGCACATATTAAAAACAATTAGCACCAAGACAACAATCAAATACAAAAAGAAGAAAAAAGTTCCAGATTGAATTCCACAACAGAAGTCAGCAGTTTGTCCAAAGTGTGCCCACCTGGCCAGAGTTTTCCGGAAAAAGAAGGTGATCATCAACAACGAGTCCTATTTTTCGTTGAGCAATAAGGAGCTATCTGGAAACGCTGGTTTCTACTCGTCTGACGTCAAAATGACTCAAGAAGGTGTTAAACTCAGCGCAAGTCAAAGTTCGAGCCAAAGGTTCTTGTTTGGATTGCTATGTCCGGGAACGGCCTGTTGAAGCACCTGGTGACACTTTCAGGCCAAGCGATTAATCAAGATGTCTACATTCAGAAGTGCTTGATGAAGCGCTTGATTCTGCTCATCGAAACAGTTCATAAGAACGACTAAATCGTTTTCTGGCCTGACCTTGCTACGTCATTACGCAAAGAAGACGCAGGAGTTTCTCCAAGCAAATAACATTGAATTCGTGCCTAAGGAGCGCAACCCTGCCAATGTGCCAGAACTTCGACCAATCGAAGATTTTTGGTCAGAACTCAAACGAAAAGTATATGATTGTGGCTTGAGAGCAAAAACCATGGACCAGCTCACTGACAGGATCAACTACTGCATAAAACGGATCAGTCAAGATTGAGTACATTGACTTGGCAAGGCTTCTTTCAGCTGAGTGGACAAAGTTCGCAGACATGGCATAATTTTTTAAAATCAGAAGCTTCATATGCTTAACTTTAATTATCTTTTTACAGAAATAAAATTGCACCTTTAGTCTCAAAGTTATAAGTTTTTTAGTTTTGTCCGGATTTCTAGGTATCACATGTTATAATGCTCTATGGAATATAATTTAAGTTAAGATTTGAGAATATATAAAAGAAATAAAAAGTAACAAAAAAATTGTTTAAAGTAGTAAATAATAACTAAATAGTTTTAAGAGGTTTTATTGTTTCAAGTGTGATCTTGTTAATAAGGTAAGAGGTTGCTAAGTTACCTCGTTAAGTGGTAAGGTTGCTAAGTTGTAGTGATAGTGAAAAATGTGTATATAATAAAAAACAAATTTTCAAATATATTTATTATTTCTATATATTGTTATTCTAATTACTATTACTTATTATTATTTACATTATTGAATAACATTAACTAATCTAAGTTGTCTCGCATTGGCGCTTTCCTCCCAAATACCAAAATGTTGTATTTCTGATACTCTAAAACAACAAGGCACGTTTTTATCTCCGATTGATCAAGATTCCAAATCTAATGATAAGCTAATTTCTACTAAAATTGCCCATCTTCTCTAATGTCATTGTTCACTGCCAATGACAGCTATTTGTATTCATATTGTCTTGCAGCCAACCTCCAACCAACATTGTCGCAATGTTGCTTCTCTTTCTCTTTTCTATAAATACTACAATTATCACTGCTCTACAGAGCATCTTGCTTGCATCTCTTGTGCCATCTACTAAAGTTCGTTCTCTTGTTACTTGTCATTTAATTAAGTGTCATTTACTGTGACTGTTCCTAAGTGCTCCTAAAACTCTTATTTATCTAGTTTTTTTTCCTTCAACATCAGTTCTTTGGAGCTCGTTTCCTTCATCTTGCTTTCCTGATTCATATAATTTGCAATCTTTTAAGTCGTCTGTCAATTGTTATCTTGCTCTACAAACTTCATCTTTTCTCTTCCAAAAAATTCCAACTCTATTAGTGGTTGCTTGCAGCCTTGTTAGAAACGAAGATTTAAAAAAAATATATATTGTGCTAATAAAAGTCTATGTTAACTCTTATCAATATTTATTTCAATAAAAGACTTATTGTTATATATAGAGTTGCAAAAAAATGCATTTTTTTCCTTTGGCATTTTTTTGGGTCAAAAATGTTTTTTGGAATTTTTGTTGTTGTTTTTTTTATTTTTTTTTTTCTGTCTTTTTTAAGCAATTTTTTAGTTTTGGCACAGAACTTTTTGGAAAAGTTTGTTTATTCTGTATAAATATAGTGTATGATTATTAAAAGCACAACTACATGTATTAACTTATATTTTTAGTAAAAACCTAAATTAGCTGTAAGTTAGTTATATAACTAAGCATACTGTATGGGAATGTTTATTTGTCATGTTGTACTTCCTTTGGTTTTTTAGTATTATATTAAACTGTGATGCTCTCATTATAAGTAAAAACTATTCTTATTCTATAAGAAAACTACTATTTTAATTTTAAATCTGAACACATTAACACTTTGTAAGCAAGTACTCAAATAAGTACAACTATATTGCATAGCGGATATATTTAAAAAATTGGTTTCTCGAAAAAAAACTAAAGCCACAAGTGAACAAATTTTTAAAAAATTATTTTTAATAATTTAAAACCATCATATAGTAAAAAAAGACAAAAACCATAAGTAAAAAACTTATAAGCTAAACAAATACTATAAGCTAATCTAGGCCAACTAATTTTTTTTTTTTCTTTCAATTTACCTTCCCAAGGCCATGAATGCCACTACAGTCGAGAAAGCTATTTTAGTTATGGTTAAAATTTTTTTAAATGTTTTGTTGTTCAAGTTCAATTTTAAAACATAATCTTATGGCAAAAGGAACATTTAAATTTTTCCATTTTGCTTATTTGGTTCAGCGGTTTAAATAAATGGGCAACTAAGATTTTATTTCTGCCCTCTGTATGGATAGCTTAATCATAATAGATTAACAATAAGAATAAGAAATCACTCAATAATTTAAAGATATCCTTTCTCTCTCTCTCTCTCTTTCTATATTATATATATATATATATATATATATATATATATATATATATATATATATATATATATATATATATATATATATATATATATATATATATATATATATATATATATATATATAGATAGATAGATAGATAGATAGATAGATAGATATATAGATATATAGATATAGATATAGATACTATGGTGCCTTAAAATCCCTTTAAATAGAAAATCACAACTCAGTGTTTTTAATGTGATGTGGTTATCTTTTGTGCTAATCCTTTTTTAGATTCTATTGCAGAAAAACTATTATTATATCCTCTTTTATTGATTGACGGATTTACTGTATCTGTCTCTGCATGCTCTAAAAACTTTAATGCGTCTAACTTTTCACTGCATTTCAACCTTTTAGAACTCTCTCCAATCTTCATGTTTTCCTGACTCATTCATTCTACAACACTTTGAGTCTTCTGTCAACGGTTTCCTTGCTCTATATCTCTATTCTTTAACTCCCAACTTATAAGTGGTTGCTTACAGCCTTGTTGGGAGGAAATCAGAATTAAAAAAATTATATATATACATATATATATCAAACATTAAATGTAATTAAAATTAACTAATTAAATGTAATTAAAACATTAAAAGTATAATAAATGTAAATAAACAATGTTTATTGTGTCAATATAAACACTAAAACCAATTAAGATAAAACTGAGGATAAAATTATACAGAACTGCTATAACCGTGTTAACCTTGATAATAATTCAAATATATATATGTAGATAAATAATGAGTAAAAGTTAGCTAAGAATGCTGGAAAAAGAACAGATCATTTATGTGTTGAAAAGGCAGCAGAGCTGTTAATGTTTCGTGGGAGGTAGAGGTCACTGACACAATCATGAAGAATACGTAAAAAATTTTGAATAAAGGATTGTTGATAGGTAGTAGTGATTGCGGTATTTAGAGAAAATGGAAATCTGCTGAGGTTTCTGCTGTTGGTCCAAGGTAATTTAGTGGTTATTGGATAGTTTGTGTCAGCAAGGACCTTTTAAAGGATATTAATACTTGTCTGGTAATTCTTCAATGCAAGTCTTCAAAACAAATACTGAAATGGTTTGAGTTTGTTGCATCAACTCCGATGATGTGTAAGGCATTTTTGTGGAAGTGTGTAATTTTTTTTGCCTCAAGACTACAAGAGGTGAAAACTGGGGCACTATATATCATGTAGGACCTGTAGACTTGTAAAAGGTTGGGCTGAGTGTGTTCGATTTGCTTAAAGTGCTTGAGTAGAAGTGGTACTTATTTTATCCATTGTTCATCCCAATCAGGATTCTCATTGAGCAGTATTCCAAGGTCTTTGTTGCTGTATACAAATTCAAGTTATATACATGTATATGTATATACATACATTATATATATATATATATATATATATATATATATATATATATATATATATATATATATATATATATATATATATATATATATATATATATATATATACATGTATATGTATATATATATATACATGTATATGTATATACATACATTATATATATATATATATATATATATATATATATATATATATATATATATATATATATATATATATATATATATATATATATATATATATATATTGATAAACAGATTTTTCTTTATTTTGCTGTAAATTTGTGTCTGGATTCCTTTCAGTTATAAACATTGTCATTTGTTCATTTTCTATGATGTTTTCTATGATGTTTTCTATGATGTTGCCTTTAAAATTTATTTTATACTTATTTAACTTTTTTAAATCGTAATGATAAATATTGACTAATGAATCAAACTATATTTAGTTCAGATTTTGTCTTGGCATTTAAAATAGATAAATAAAAATTCTAAATTAACATGTGTTTCCAATTATACTAGTTGTTTTAATAAGATATAAATAGAATTTTGATAAGGTATATACAAATACCGGAATTTTAAAAAGTCAACTATTACAGCTTTCTTGTCTTAATGATCAAGTGTCTTGATTTTAGATTAATTTTTGTCTTAACAATTAAGTGCTTTGCTAGATTATATTGCATATACTAGATTACAGAGTTGTTAACTAGTCCAAAAGTAGCAAGGTCAAGGCCACATTTTACAAGGCCAAAGCCAGAGCCAAAGCCAAGAGTTTTAAGGTCAAGACCAAGAATAAGATTTTCAAGGCCAAGGCCTACGCAAACATTTTTAAGACCAAATACTTAAATTGCCTAATTTTAAGACCAATTGTTAAAAAAAATGTAGTTAACAATTGCTGTGACAATAAACCACATGTTGTGAAAATAAACCAAGATTATGCGCAAAAGTCTACATCAATAAAAAATCATACTTGTAGACATATATGAAAGCTGAGAACAAAAATACATAAAAATAAAGAATGAAAACTTTTAATTCTTAAATTTTATGTTTTTTTTTTTAAAGGCCAAGGCCAAAACAATCAAGGCCAAAGCCAAAATTTTCTAGGCCAAGACCAAAGCCAAGGCCAACAGCTTCAAGGCCTTAATTTTTAGCCTTAAGGCAAAGCCAAGGACTGACAACTCTGCTAGATCATAGATAAATATTAACCAATCATACACCTTTTAAGTGAAATAAAGCTATAATAAAATTGTTTATAAGCAATAAACAAAATTATAATTTTATTTATTTCATATTATAAAGTTGTAAGTTTTTTTTTTAATCGTTTTTTTTTTAAAACAATTTTTGTTTTTTTTTTTAATTTATTTTTGTTTAAATAGTTTTAAAATCCAAAAAAATATTTTCTGATATATAAACAAACATTTGATTATATATCAAAGTTATTATAACTCTACATTTTTAATAATTTTCTTAAAAAAATGATGTTGGGAGTATTTATAAGGATATTTCGATATAAATGATTTCAATAACAATATGACATTATCATAAATTATCTAATGAAAGTCTGTTTTTTTTTTATTATCATCGTATTTTTGGTTTAACTTTTTATTGTTATAAACTTTTTATTGTGGTTATAAACTTTTTATTGTGGTTATTGTAATATTAAAAGATTCTATTTGTTATAGAACATTTCATCATCTTCTAATAATACAATATTGTGTTATTAGAAGATGATAGAATGTGGTTGAGTTTACCAAGATTAAAAAATGTAACAAAAAAGTTTTTTCAAAAATGAAGTCATCAATCTATTTTGTGTGTTGTTCCTAAGAGTTTTATTTTCTGACTTCTTTTGATTCATGTTAATTATCTAAACAACTATGTTTACCTTTTAAAAGTTTATTTTTTTATGATATAAATCTCAAAAAGATGATGATTATGACAATGATGATGATTATGACAATGATGGTGATGATGATGATGATGATGATGATGATGATGATGATGATGATGATGATGATGATGATGATGATGATGATGATGATGATGATGATGATGATAAAAAGTCTCCCAATCTTTTTTTGTTTTTACAGTACTGGTGGAGGTAGAACAGGAGCATATATTTGTATTGATGAAATGCTGGAACTTGTAAAATATCAAAATAAAGTGGATATTTTTAATTATGTTAATTTTATGAGAAGCAGAAGAATCTCTATGATACAATCTGAGGTTATCATTTTGCTATGTTTTTTAAATATATCTTTATATATTTTTAGATTTAGATTAGCACTGTCCAAATATAATTTGCACACTTCAAGTTTTAAAATGTTGACAAAACAGCAAATTTAATTTTAAAAATATTGTAAAAAAGCAAAAATTTTTATTACCTGCCATAATTTAGGTTTGCAATCTAAGACATTTACCTAAGAGATGTAAAATATTTAATGAATGTGTCTAATTAGCCAAAGATTTTATTATTTATTTATTGCTAGGATCAATATTTGTTTGTATATCGTGCTATTTTTGAATCAATTACTTGTGGTGTTACAGAAACAATCGCTTCTAAATTTCCACAACTAATCACTGGACTATCTAATGAAACAAATTTAAATTTAGGTGCAACCAATGGTTTTGAAGAACAGTTTCAAGTAAAAAAAGAAATTTTTACTATTTATAAATAACTTTGTAACTTTCTATTTATATCATAATTTGATTTGCTGAAAATTTTAAGTTGTACATTTCTATTTAAGTTTTATGTTCTGATTTTTTTAATCAAAATATGAAATGTTTTGAAAAGGTATAATTTTTAGGGGTATATCAGTTTGTTAGGGTGTTTTAAGTATTAAATTCACAATGTTTCAAGTGTCACATGAGGTTTTTGCTGTTGGAAAGGTTTTTTGCTGTTACAAAAAAAAAGGAAAAAGTTCAATGCAAAGTACAAAAATGTTTTGTATAAAATTTTATTTTAGAAGCTGAAAATGTTTATTTCAAGTCCTGTACCTGAGGAATTTAGTAACGCACTCAAAGATGTCAATAAAGAAAAAAATCGTAATCAACAAATATTACCTAGTAAGAGTGGTTTTGTTTTAAATTTACAAAAAAATTTATAACAAATAATACTAAATTATAATTCACGTGATAAATTAATATGTATTGTAACAACATACATGTAAATTTAAACTTGCTTTTTTACCATATATAAACTATAAATTAAATGCTCCTAATACTTATCTATATAAATATCTAATGTAAACTTGCAATTCACAATAAATAAAATTATTAACAGTTCATGAACTATTACAAAGTTAAATTCAGAAATTTATTTCTATTTTTAAATAATTGTATTTTTATTTTATGTTAATGTGTTCTGGATTAATAACAGGTGATGAAAAACGTGTAATACTATTGGATGACATCTGTAAAGGTGGTGACTACATAAATGCAGTTTATATAAATGTATGTTTTAAAAAGTTTTAGATCTTTTTATTGGTACTTAGACTCTAAGTTGCAAAATAATTTGTTTTTATCTTGTTATCTGAATAAAAAATTCTTATGTAGCTGCTACATCTTATCCAATTCATTTTTTTTTTATCTTTTTCAAAAAAACAACTCTCAAGTCTAACATTCCATATCTAATCCATAGGTCAGATCTTATTACCTCTCCCAAAGATAAGGCAGAACTAGTTGTAAAGAACTTTTAAATTTTATGACCATACTCTTTCTGCCATTTCAATTAAACAAGTTAACACATAGTTAGACATCCAAATCACTCTGGCTTTCATTGTTAATAGCACTTCTCAGTTAAACTATACTACGGCTTGTGGTCCAGACAATATGCCTGTCATATATAGTCTTACATAAATGTTCTCCTCTACTCTCTTAATTCTCTCTAAACTATTTGATTAGCAACTGAATTTTGTTTTTCTGTCTGATGGATAATCAGCATCTTTGGTTCCAATTTTTAAAACTTTGGAAAACGTTCAATCAGTCTATCTATTAT